ACATACATTAATTATTTTTGTAATAATATATAAAATTATAAATCTTTATGTATATTTTTTGAAGTTAATTTTTTTAAGTTAAATTTTTTTATGTTAAATTCTCATCTCTTCTCTTATTTTATTCTCCAATTTAATTCACTCACATATAATGTGATTTAAATTTAATATATACACAATGCTGGCTCACTAGTCATCAGCAATCCTCTCGCACATTATCGAAAGAAAAAAAAAATTCTGTTTCAAAAAAACAAACACCTGTAAGTTACATAAAACTTTTTTTTTTTTGTGGGCCAACATCTGCCAAATAAAACTTGTAACAATGTATTTGGTTATGAATTTCCATTTCGTTTCTGTCAAATCAGGATGGTTTGACAAATCAGAAAGGCATTACTTGGACCGTCTGCACTGTATAATTCCTGTCTTAATTGCCACATCTGAGGTTTCCCATGTCTGTAGAACATGTCAAACATAAAGTAAGAAGTTGGTAACTGCTTACTTCTCCATGTCCAAAAATTTCAAAGCTAATTTGGGAAGCAATTCCTCATGTACATAAAACAATCGTATTACCACACAATGGCGTTGCATGTGTAACCCAACATTTTCCCCATTTCCTATCAATTCTTTATCTTATAAATAGCCCCTGAAACAGGGGATTTTTTCCTTGGACAATTAGAGTAGAGGCTGAAGAGAACAGCCATGGTCGAAAAAGCCGCACTGATGCTGTTTGTGTTCATGGGGTTGGCTTCTTTGGCCGTGATTCGTGTTTATGGAGATGATTCAGAGGTAGTTCAGTTTTCCGGTGGCAGTTTCAGTGAAGATATTAGCAAAATGCGAGCCCTGAAAGCCTCTTTAACCCGCCGCGACTCTGTTTCCTACCCTGCTCCGCCACCGCAGGTATTCCAACTTCTAATCTTGGGCTAAAGGCGATTCTGTTTCTTCCTCTGTTTTGACAATTACGTTCAAACTGATGATTGCGATGTAGGTGGGTTCGAGTCACCGTGTGTATCTGGCGACGGCGTACGGTGCTGATCCGACGGGGAAATCCGATAGCACAGAAGCACTTCTGAAGGCAATGACCGATGCGTTTCAAGGTCCCAGCAATGGGTTCCTGTCTGAGGGGATCGCAAACCTTGGAGGGGCACGGATTAATCTTGAAGGTGGGAATTACTTGGTCAGCAAACCGCTGCAGTTACCCGCCACCGGCATCGGAAATTTTATGGTACGTATACCGACAGTCATTATGACCTTTGGAACTGCTTCAAACATGTTGACATCTGTGGTGGAATAGAATTCTTCACTGTGTGAATTACCCTGCCACATGGCATTTCTCCATGATCCACATGTCGCTGTGATTTCCAAGATGTTGAAAGATGAAGGAAAAATGAGGAATAAATAATTTTTTTATAATTTTTTAATATAATTTTATATATTATTTAATGATAAATTTTTTTCATTTTATTAACACTTATGATATTTTGCAAAAATGGTACAAAATTGTTGCATGCAATCTTCCCCCAAGCATGAGTCTTCGTCTTAGTTTTTTTATGGCATGTGGCATTCTCTTATTGGATAGAAAACTTCAAACGTGGCATCTTGACCCACTTATGAAGTCAAAATACAACGAGGAATGTGTAGATGACTTGCATTAACGGTTGCTTTCCCCCGGCATATTTTCGCACTATATCTTATAAAAGTCTTAATTTATCATAATTAAATTAATTTTAACTAATATTTTGTACAATTTTTTAACTATATTAATTTATTAAAAAAATTTAAAAATAATTATTAAATGATAATATAATTTTTCTTATAGTAAACTATTAAAAAATCTACCATTATAACACTTTATAATAATATTAAACATCAATAAATTAATATGTACAGATAAATTTCAGTTGAATTTTCACTAATCCTCAAAATTCCATCTGAATGAATCTAATTTTTGATGAAACAGATTCATGGAGGGACATTACGGGCCTCAGATGATTTTCCGACTGATGAATATCTGATTAATCTGTCTCCTACAACAAACAGCTCCTCATCCTCATCATCTTCATCACAGTATAATTATGAGTACATAACCCTCAGGGACCTGATGTTGGACTCTAATTACAGGGGAGGAGGCATCTCAGTTATAAATTCCCTTAGAATCAGTATAGATAACTGTTACATTGCCCATTTCACCACCAATGGGATTTTAGTCCAAAGTGGGCATGAGACATACATCAGGGACTCTTTCCTTGGCCAACATATCACTGCTGGAGGTGATTCTGGAGAACGGAACTTCACAGGCACCGGAATTAACCTCATGGGCAACGATAATGCGATCACAGATGTGGTGGTATTTTCTGCTGCCATAGGAATAATGGTTACAGGTCAGGCCAATATACTTTCCGGGGTACATTGTTATAACAAGGCAACGGGGTTCGGTGGCACAGGGATATACCTGAAGATGCCTGGGTTAACGCAGACACGAATTGTGAACTCCTACATGGATTTCACTGGGATTGTTGCCGAAGATCCAGTTCAGCTTCATATCTCTAGTAGTTTTTTCTTGGGTGATGCATTCATTCTCCTCAAGTCTATAAATGGGGTTGCAAAGGGTGTCAACATAGTAGATAACATGTTTAGCGGGTCTAGTAAGGGGATAGACATTGTCCAGTTGGACCAGGGCAATGGAGCATTCAGTCAAATTGATCAGGTTGTGGTGGACAGGAATGTTGCCAATGGGATGAACATTAAGGCAACAATGGCAAGGGGATCCGTTCAAGGGAATGGGAGTTCCTGGACAGTCGATTTTAGTAATGTTCTTTTGTTTCCTAACCTTATTAAGCAGGTACAGTACTCGCTAAGCACAAGTGATGGGAGCTCTTTTCCTAACCATGCCCTGCGTAACATTTCTGGTAATCATGTCGTGATCGAGTCAAACATAGCCGTGCCGGCGAATGTGTTTGTAACAGTGGATCAAGGATTGTCAAGTTGAGGCTGTTTAAGCTTCAATTTTGAACATGATGATCCAACATGACAACCGTGAATAGGATTGGGATTAAAAATGTATACTTCCTTTTCTTCATGATACAATTCAAAGTACAAACCCTTTTCAATAACAGAAATTTTATTATTAATTCAAAAAGAATATTACATACAAAATATATATTCTTTTATTTCTAATTACTTAATAACATAGACAATTCTTTTTTATTAACCTATTTAATACTATACTATTTAAATTCATAATCTATTACTCTCACTACAAAATACCATTTAACAAATTAAGTTGTTGATATACATAAAAATAGAGTTACTGCAATGAATTTTGATAATGTGATAACCTTGAAGTAAGATCTCGAAGGTCTTCCTAATTCCTATATTTTCTCTTGATTTGAATGGTTAGCATACATTTTCTCAATTGATATTAGAAAATTCAAGTATAAACAACAAAAGTCAAGGAGTTGAAAAATGAGAATTTAACTAATGTTAGCTATTGTGGGGATTTGGTCGGTCATTAGTCATGCGCCTAGGGTTGGTGATGCTCTCCATTTTCAAATTCAAAAGGGAAATAAGATGAAGTTGAGGCCACCACCAACATAAACAATAACAAAATCCCCTCAAGTCAAAAGATTAGGTTTCTGTTTCTTTTACCCTATTTATTTCTTTTAAATGTTAATTTGAGAATCCTAGGATTATCTATGTTTCGAGATTCATGTAGCGAATTAGAATAAACAAATGATGTTGTCAAGTTGCATCATAATTGTTTTAATGAATATAGAACTTCTATTCAATATAGTCTGTTGGAGGATGCCATTTTCCTTTTCCTTTTTTTTTTTTTTCTTGAAAAATGATCAATGATTTTGTGTCGATAATAGAGATAAAGCAATTATAAAACTTGTCTATTTATAAAAAGACATTTTAACCATCTAAATTCTCATCTACTACAACATATTAATCACTTAAAAGTACAAAACAGTTCAAAAATAGATATAAATAAAAAAATACAATTAAAAAATATCTATAAAAATCAAGTTATTCATTTATCCCTAAAGTATTAGTTATACTATTATGATATATCCTACATTAATAATAACTTTGTTATAATGGAGAATGAGGACATAAAATGTTCCCCCATCAAACACAACCCAAACCAGTATTGCTGCTATTCACAATCAATTGAAGAATGGAGCATCACACCAACACCAACACCAACACCAATCCTTGCATCCGAAACCAAACAGCACCTAACCCATCCCCCTACCACGCCGTTACGTGTCGGCCAAGGATACCCACACCTACAACTACAACTGTTTGTATCTGACCCAGTCTAATTAATTTGAGCCAATTTAATCTAATTTAATTAAAAATTAAGTAAAATTATTATTTAATTAGATTAATTATAATTAAAAAAGTTTAAAACTAATTAAATTAATTTAGTTTATGATTTTATTTTATGACCATTTAATCCAAACTGATATTGAAAAAATTAATTAAAAATTTTTTTTTCCCAATTCTTCTATTCTCATCATTTTTCATCCTAACCTTAAAATCGTAACATATAGTACTTTCACCTCTTATAAATTTATTCAGTTTTAATTTTATTTTTATATGATTAAAATTTTAAAAAGAAAAAATAGTATAATCAAACTCTTAAAATATTTTTTTCCTTTGAAATAAAACTATCAATTTCATCTAAATCAATCCAATCCACTAATACTTGTATTAGTTTAGTTATAATATATTAACTAAATTAGATTAATTTGATAGTTATTTTTTTAAATTAAATAAAAAATAGTTAGAAATTAATCCATCCAAACACTCTACCTCCAACAAACTGATGATAACAAACGAAGCCACTGGAAGCAAACAGAGGATGCCATTTTCTTGAGTATATATTTACAATGGAAGTGTCGATTGCAGTCCTGCATCACAATCTTTACCATTAATAAAGGGCACCCTAAATATGAGACCAATCCTTCTCGAATAGATTAATGGTCACTTTTTTAACCATCCGACCTACAAGAAGAGATACAGACATAGATATATCATTTTATAGTTTAAATTATTTTAAATTATAAAATAAAAATTTTAAAATAAAGAAAGAATTTAATATCAAAAGATTTCATTTCTCATTTTAAAATTATTATTTTATAATATAAAATAATTTTTAAAAGATTAATACATATCAATTTTGATTTTAAAAAAATAGAATTTCAACTTATATTTAGAAATTAAAATTTTAATTTAAAATTTAAAATTTAAAAATTTAATTAATTTTTAAATCAAATATCAATATTTAATAAAATAAATTTTTAAATTTTAAATTAAATTTTAATTAAATAAAACAATATAACTTAAATTTAAAGTCCTAATTTTTTTTTGTAAGAGTTGGGATGCATTTAAATTATAAAATAATTTTTTCTAGGTATATTTATTTCAAAGATTTAAATTTCTAGACATAGTGATTTACTATTTCAACTATAAAAAAATGTGTTTCTGCTATTTGAGGTCAGGACTGGCTTCCAAGCATTAGGAGCCACCTTGCCCAATACAAAGACCACATCTTTACTACCCCCTTCTCAAAAGGGGCAAAACAAACACTATCTTTTTCATTTTTCTTTTTGATTATTTTCTCTCAGTTTAAGTGATTTTCCAACATTTTTACTCACAGTTAGAAATCAAAGCTGCTATTAAATGAAGAAAATGAAAATGAGGAGGATGAGATCCATTCAGGCATCGTGCTTCCCTATGGTGTTCCTGGTGCAAAAAACTACCTGTTCCATGAGAAACCAGTAGCTAACTTAATTCCAAGCAATGGTAGCAGAGAAACAGACCCTCAAGTCCACCTCAGACTTATCTCATTATCAAAAGAGTAAGAACCTCATTTACTTCTAATCTTTGCTTTGTTTTGACATGTTTCTTTTTTTGCAAACTGCTTTAACATGTTTCTGATTTCCGGGTTTTTGTTTCAATGTGGGGTTTTAGTAGGGGAGAGTGTTCTACCTAATTGGGTTTGGTGCTGATCCAACAGGGAAACAAGACAGCAGTGATGCCTTTCTTCAAGGCCTGAATGATGCATTCCATGCTCAGAATGGGCTTGATTTGCTTCCTGTTGTCCATGACTTGGGTAGACTAGAGATTGATCTGCAAAGTGGAGATTACAAAATCAGCAAACCTTTCAGGTTCCCTCCTAGTGGAGCCAATGTGGTCGGTAACTCGTAAGTATATACCAAAGGATTCATGTATTATAGTATAGATTATATGTTAAAAGTGTAATTTGTCATATAAATTTATTAAAATATTATTAATAAATTAATTTGAAAAATAATTTTATTAAAAATATTTTAATAAATTCATAAGATATATTGCACTTTTTAATGTATAATTTACGTTATAAAACATTTTTTTTATGTCAATCAATATTTTAGTAGTAGCTAATTCGCATTGTGTGCTTTTTGTTGTACATGTATGTTTTGGACACGGTACGATGTTTGTTTTATATATGTTCTTTCACTTTTGCAATTTTCAAGTAAAAGGAGGAACTTTGAGAGCATCAAACACATATCCCAGCGACCCGTATCTGATTGAATTATGAGCACCGGTGTCTCATCTCCCTTACGAAATTTCCTCTAATAATACCGACGAGTTACACTTCCACCGGAAAGATTCTAACAATGCTGGAATTCACTATGAAGACATCACCTTCAGAAACATCCTGTTTGATTCAAGGTTCAGGGGAGGAGGGATTTTCCTTATAGATACAACCACGATCGGTATAGACCACTGCATGTTTATTCATTTGATTACGGGGGGACTCCTGTTTAAAAGAGGCCCTTGAAACCTACA